ATACGTGTGCCACACATAGAAGAAAATTCAATAATGAAATCATGCATATAGTTAAAAAAAAAAAAAAACTAGTAGCATAGCAGTTGCCTCCATCTGCACAATTTGCCTCTGAGTAATTTCTTTCTAAGGGGACGTGGTGGCTCAGTGGCTAAGACACTGAGCTTGTCGATCGAAAGGTCGGCAGTTCAACAGTTCGAATCCCTAGTGCTGCGTAACGGGGTGAGCTCCTGTTACTTGTCCCAGCTTCTGCCAACCTAGCAGTTCAAAAGCATGTAAAAAATGCAAGTAGAAAAATAGGGACCACCTTTGGTGGGAAGGTAACAGCTTTCCATGCACCTTTGGCGTTGAGTCATGCCGGCCACATGACCACGGAGATGTCTTTGGATAGCGCTGGCTCTTCAGCTTTGAAAGGGAGATGAGCACCGCTCCCTAGAGTCGGGAACGACTAGAACATATGTGCGAGGGGAACCTTTTACCTTTACCTTTACTAATTTCTTTCTTCAAAAAGTGTTGAACATTCTTTTTGCAACGTTTTTACCATCGGATTTCAATTTGACAAAATAAATTAAATAAATAAATTGCTTTCAAGGATTTCGTTGCTCTGGCCTCAGGAGAAAACCTGACCCCTGATAAAGTTCTCTGGGTACAGTGCCAAAAGATTGCACAATCTGATCTGAAACTGTTTCATTGAGTTATTGTGGAAAAAACTGGAAGGAAATGACCACCCTGTGTTTGGAATGCAAATAAATCACACCAATTTCTATTAAGTAGATCATGTGCTTGAATCTTACATCAGCACTAGACAATCCGTGTGCCCTGTTGGGTCAAGATTTGAGAAATATTCGCTGACCTAAACAGAGAAACAGAATGACCACAAGTGGGCAAAAAATATTGGAAAGTGGGAGTTATCTTACAGTTGAAGTACAGAATAATCTTCTCTTGCTTTAATGTGACTTCCTGTTTTATTGTGCCTTGTATTATTGTCTGGACATATTTTAAGTTTCTGCCTTTTGGTAATAATAAAGCATTCATTGACTATCACCAGGGAACTAAGTTGGAAAATCAGTACAGTGAGTATTGAATAGGATATGGGCTAAAGGGCTCTGTAATAGCAACTTGTCTCTCTCCCTGCTTTTGAGTCCTCCTTTCTTCCTAGAATTACCTTTATGCTGTCCTTCCCCTCTGTAGTCTCCAGGGGATTAGCAGTGCTTCCTCTATGGCAGGGGTCGGCAACCTTAAACATTCAAAGAGCCACAAAGGCCTAACTGGAAAGCCCCGTTGGAGGCGACTGGAAGTCGGGTTCCTCCATCATAGTCTCCTCCTAGCATGGCGTCTTGTTTCCTCTACCTGTCCTAACTGAAAGCCCTATCAATTGTGGAGCCGACCAGCAACAGGGAGCTGCAGCAGAGAGATGAAAGAGCCACATGCAGCTCTAGAGCCGTGGGTTGCTGACCCCTGTTCTATGGATAGATTTGTCCATGGGGTTACAGTGATTGTATAAAATTATTTAGCTGCAAAATAACCCCAAGCAATAACTTGAGGCATACAGAGAATACTGAGGCATACTGAGGCATAACTTGAGGCATACTGAAACAGCATAGATTGCGTAGGGATTTCAATATAGGTTATAAAAATGAAATTTGTGGGATTAAAGAAAAGAAATCACTGAGTAATTGTTATATTAGAATTGGCAGATGTACAACTGGGGAAATCTTGTGGCAGCCCGTGAAAGAGCTTCATGACAATATTGTTTGGTATCCTGCATTAATTCAAACCCCTAGTTAGCTGTGCAGTACCTTGGAAAGTATGCTATCCCAGCCTAGTTTATCTCTTAAGATTTTTTTTTATGAGAATATTTAAAAGAGGCAAAGCAGTGTACACAGAGAAATGCCATAAAAATGAGTAATCACGATGGCAAGCCAGAATATGAAAAGCTCTAACATAAAGTTAATTTCTTCAGTGGGAAATAAAGAGATTCCAGAACTTAGCAAGGTAATTCTGTTTTTTCCAGCAGTGATTTAGGATTGATTCTATTTATGGCTTGTTAAGGAGCAGGTCTACATAGCTACTAAGCCAGACAATGCTTAAACATCGCCTCAATCTTGCATTATGACGGTCCATTGCTTGATAACTTGCCTATTATGGTGGTCTCTGTAAACCTCACATGCAGAAAGTTTATTGAACATTGATGGCTTGGAGAACAGGAACAAGATTTCTGAATGGACCAGTGATGTTGGAAACATGGGAAAAAATATGGGTTCAGAATGTTAAATTTACACAGTTGCAGAATTTGAGGGAAAATTTTTACAAAATGTTTTATAGGTGGCATTTAGATCCTAAGAAATTGTCATGCATGTATCCTAATGTTCAACCAAAATGCTGGAGATGTGATTGCTTAGATGCCACATATTATCATATGTGGTGGACTTGTAAGAAAGTGAAGGCTTTTTGGATAAAAATTTGGTGGGTTATGCAGAATGTTTTAAAGAAAAAAATTCAGTTTTCTCCACAATTGTTTTTATTGGGCATAGTTAAGGGTTTTACATTGGGTGAAGTAAAGTTGATATTGTATATGGTAACAGCAGCGAGGTTGTTGATAGATCATTATTGGAAAAATGAAGCTATGCCTACTATTGAAGAATGGGCTTTGAAGATGGCCAGTTTTGCAGAGATGGCAAAGATTTCAGCATACTTAAAAGATCGGACACAAGAGACTTATGTATGGGAGTGGAAAAAGTGGATAGATTATGTGCAGAATAAATATCAAACTAGGAAATATCAGATAGCTTTTAATTGAAAGTATTATATAGGGATATAATTGAATTTTGTGAAGATGTGAAAAATATACAGGGGGTGGAGGGGGTTCAAGTCTTATAAAATGTGATTTTGATATGGATTATATTTTGTGGAAGTCCTGGGGGGATGGGAGGGCTAGGGGGGTTAGGGAGGGTTAGGGGGTGTTAGGGAGGGTCAGGGGGCGATAGGGAGGGTTAGGGGGGGGTAATTGGGGAGAAAATGTATTTGTAAAACTTTTTCAATTAAAAAAAAAGATTTCTGAATGGAGGGCAATTAACCAGTGGAACAGCTTCCCTCCAGAAATTGTGGGTGCTCCATCACTGGATGTTTTTAAGAAGATTCTACTATTCTGATACTATTCTGAAATAGTATAGGTCTGTGATGGCGAACCTATAGCACGCATGCCCGAGTTGGCACACAGAGCCATCTTTCCGGGCACACGAGCTGTTGCCCAACTCATCTGCAGCTGCACTTGCACATGCACCCCAGCTGGTGTTTGGGCCTCTGGTCCGCATGCACGCAATTCAGGGGACCCAGATGGTCTTTGGAGCTTTCCTGCACATGCGTGCACATTTGCGCATGTGCGTGAGAGTACTTACGTGTAGCACATGCATGCATAAATGGCATTTGCGATTGATGGTGCGATTGTGCATACAGCGTATAGGGGAGCCGTGCGAAAGCTGTGCACATGTGCAGATGACGTGGTTTAGCACTCGGTGAGTAAAAGGTTCACCACCACTGGTAGAGGTTCTCCTGTTTGAGAAGGGGGCTGGACTAGAAGACCTCCAAGGTCCCTTCCAGTTCATTCATTCTATTCTATTCTAAGATGTTCACTTTGGCTTGGTAGAAACACACTGTGCATACTGATTTAAGGTTTACATTATCAAATCTGGAGTGGAATTGGGTTCCTAATCCATTTTCTTTGAAAACACCAAAGTTTGTTTACATTTAGATGTAATGGATTTATCATACTTTTCACTGTCCGACTGCACAATCAGAGCAAGTAAACACAAGGTGGGAGGGTCCTGCAAAAAACTAATTTCCATTCAAATGTGTATTAGGTAGGCCGCATTGCAAGATTAATCTGAAGACAAACAGGGTAATTTCCTTATTCGGATAAATACATAAGACCATTAGAATTCCTTACTGGAAATGAACTTGGCAAGGTTAGAAATAAGAGATCATGAAGGAGAGTAAATATTTGGTAAAGTGAATAGCTTTATTAGAAGGGATAGAGGAGATTTTGATTGACTGTGTGGGAGTGTTTGTATCACAGGACACTCTGAAGTGGATGAAAGACAGGTAGGTTGAGCAAGGACAATTCCTCATTCTCCATCCCATGAACAGTGTAGCAGCAGGTACAATAGGCAGGCAGCAGAGATAACGACGTTCTAGATCAGGGGTGTCAAACTCAAGGCCCGGGGACCAGATCCGGCCTGTGGGTGCTTAGCTCTGGCACGCAGGGCCACCCTGGAAACAGGGAAGGACTGGCCCATGGTGCCTCTGCCAACAAAAACGGAACTCAGGAGGGCCACAGGCGGCCCTCCCGAACTCCCTTTTCACTGGCAGAGGGTTGCAGGAAGCCATTGTAGCTGAAAATGGAGCTCGGGAGCCTGTTTTCTTTGGCAGAGCGCTTGGGCCGCCATAGGCGCCCTCGACACAAGTGACAGTAAGTTGGCCATGCCCACCCTGGCCACTCCCACTCCGCCCAGTCGAGGCCAAACACAACCCTGATGTGGCTTGCCATTTGATTTTTAACTGCATTGCATCAGAGGTGGTATTCAGCAGGTTCTGACCAGTTCCGGAGAACTGGTTACAGAAATTTTGAGTAGTTCAGAGAACCAGTAAATACCACCTCTGACTGGCCCCGCCCCCATCTATTCTCTGCCTCCCGAGTCCCAGCTGATTGGGAGGAAATGAAGATTTTGCAGTAACCTTCCCCTGCCATGCCCACCAAGCCATGCCCACAGAACCGGTATTAAAAAAGTTTGAATCCCACCACTGGCTGACACCCACATTATCTCGGAAGTGTGAGGCATTTACGGTAATTCATAGAGAATTTGGTGCATTGTGGTCCCCCCCCCAGCATGTTGATTCTGAATGCCATTTCCACAGGCAGGAAATTGAAATGTGTCTATGAATTTGTGGGTCTTTTTGTATCATCACAATCAATAATAATAATGTCTCTTTTTCCATCCAAACAGGTTTTATTATTGGCTGGGCCTAGCGAAGCACAACGGGGTCCTGATGGGTGACTCGACATCGAGGCGGTCAATTATTGTCTCTCGTTTGCCAATATTCCGGAGAAGTATTAACCGAAGACATGATTCCCTCCCATCATCACCTACTTCCAACAGTACCGTTGGCGTTCACAGTTCTTCTCCTTCTAGCACCAACTCTAGCTCAGGTAGCACAGGCAAACGCAGAAGCCTCTTCAGGACACCGTCCATTAGCTTCCATCACAGAAAGGGGAGTGATCAGAAGACAGAGTCTTCGTGCCAGAATGTGGGTGTTTTGAACGGCGCCCAGTCAGGCCACAACACTTTGCAAAAGCTCGGTTTGGAGGAAAACGTGAAGAATAGAAGCAGACATTCTGTCGGTTTCGGAAGTTCTCGAAGTAAAAAGATCACAAGGTCCTTGACGGAGGACTTTGAAAAGGGGAGGGAGCCCTCGACCAACAAGAACGTTTTCATAAATTGCATAAGTTCTGGGAAGAACGAAGGCGATGACTCTGGCTTCGCAGAGGCCCAAAGCAAGTCTTCTGTTAAACATTCCTCAAGGAAGCTTCTCCCCAAGTCATTCTCGACACACTACAGATTCTCAAAGCCGGTCCCTCAGAGTCAATCGGTTTCCTGCGTTCAACAACCATCTTCCTGTTTGCTGGAGATTAAATCGAACGTTGAAACTGATCCCGTGTCTGCAAAATCTTCCCCTTCGGAATGTATAGGTAGCTCTTTGCTTTCCGCCGATTTGACAACTGTGCAGACACCATCCGAGTTTTTAGCGTTGACTGAGGATTCGGTTTCGGAGGTTGATGGGCTGCCTGCCTGTGGAAACTTGCACCCAGAAACCTTGGCCCACAATGTGTCTACCTCTCAAACCTTTGCTGCTTCTCCTCTTTCAAGGAAAACAAACCTTACAGAGAGTGTTTCCCCTTCTGCTGAAACTTACAGGGCTAGAAATGTATTGCTCACTGAAGCCAGTGCTTTCTCGGAAATCCTTGAGTCAAACCGAAAGCATACAAAAGTATTATTGCCAGAGTTCTTTGCTAAACAGACCAGCTATCCAGAAGATGTCAACTCAGGAGCTAAAGCACAACTAAAAACCTTTGTCTTAAACCAGGGAGAAGTAGTTGAAAGTTCTCCAAAAGCACAGAGATTACAGAGGGACCAACAAAAAGGAAGAGTATCGGAACATGTCAGAGAAGTCTTTCCAGGCATCGAGTCTAAGATCACTCCTTTGTCTTCTGAACCTCAGTCTTTTCAAACACAGCAGCCAAGTGACATAAACCATGCCAAGGGTATGTATCGTTCAACCATTGCTGTCTTCTGAAAAAAATATTCATTCATAAAAATGTGTTTCTTTCCAATTACTATATGCACGAATAATATTCAGATACCATGTTTTCCCAAAAACAAGACCCTGTCTTATATTTTTTGAACCCTGAAATAAGCGCTTGGTCTTATTTTCAGGGAAGTCTTATTAGTTTGGGGCGCGTGAAGCAAGACGGGGATCCTCTTGCTGTCTTACCTGATTTCCAACTCTGTCTCCCTAACCCTAACCAGAGGAAATGGCGGGGACCGGCTGCACATGTGCTTAAATATTTTTGGGGAGGGCTTATTTTCGGGGGAGGGTTTAATTATCCAGGGAGGTCTTATTTTCGGGGAAACACGTAGCATCATTTATGCTTGGCATGTTATGAAGATGAGGATTTTGGGTTCTCTAAATTACTAGTGAGAGGTCGTATAAATGAATGATCAGTGGTACTTTCCAAATTATTTGAATTTACAAAGATATTTTTAAAAGAAAGAGGTAGTCCTTGACTTACAACAGTTAGTTTAGCAACCGTTCAAAGTTACAACAGCACTAGAAAAAGTGACCAGTGACCATTTTTCACACTTACAACTGTTGCAGCAATCCCATGATCAAAATTCAGATGCTTGACACTGACTCACATTTATGACAGTGGCAGTGTCCCAGGGTCATGTAACTCCCTTTTGTGACCTTCTGACAAGCAAAGTCAATGAGGAAGCGAGATTCACTTAACAACCATGTTATTAAATTAACAAAAATTTTGGGCTGCATTGCGGTTGTAAGTTGAGGACAACCTGTATATAGGGACGAATGCCATTATTTCCTAAAATAAGCATTCAGCAAGATTTGTGGGAAGCCCTTCCTATTTAATTAGTTGATGTTAGGGGTCACATTCAAAATCAGACAGACATTCCTAGGGATATATTGCAGGCAAATGATAGTCAAAGCTAAATGTGATTCCATTCATCCACTTAACTGTGATTTGTAACAGTGAGTTTCTACTTTAACATATTCCACAGCTTTCTAATTCCATCTTCTTATCTCTACACTATTTTTTAAATGCCATTATCCATTTCTCTTGTCCTTTGAAAGTTATGGGTATCAGATATTGCAGTGATATATCGCTTATTACTGTATTTTCAGAATATAAGACACACCAGAATATAAGGCACACCTACCTTTTTTGGTGAGGAAAAGAAGAAAAAGAAATCTCCCTCTGCCTCTGCCTCTGCCTCTGAGCAATTTTGCCTCCTTGCAGCAAACAGCAAACAGCCTGCTTTACTTTCATTTTCATTTTCAGCATAGCTTGATTAGCACAAGGAAAAAAAAAATCTGCTCCAGCAATTTACCTCTTTGCAGCAAGCAGCAGAGTCTGCGCAAAACAGCTGAGAGCAAATCAGCTGAGAGTCGGGAGGCCAATCCAATCAACTAGTGCTAATTAGGCTGTGCTGAAGCTGAAAGGAGCTGTTTTTTTCTTGCTGTTTGCTTGCAAGGAGGTAACTGCTTGGAGGCAGAGGCCAAAGAGTGAGGGCCAGTGGGTGGGCGGGGCTACATTTGGTGTATAAGACCAAATGTAAATTTTCATCCCCTTTTGTGGGGGGGGGGGAAAGGTGTGTCTTATACTCCAAAAAATACTGTATGTGCTATGCTAATCACTTATTATTGAGGTATTGTAACTGAGAAGTTAATGACTACATTTTAAACATATAAAACTTACAGTTACTATATCAGGACAGCTGAAATATCATATGAAGCTTTTGTGCTGGAATTTCTTCTTCCAAAGCTGGAAAAAAAAAGTTTACTTACACTAAATTCTTGTAGGCAGCTGTCTTGCTACCAACAATGGCATCATCTATTTTCAAAGTTTTTAGATCATATTGATTTTCTCAACTGAACGTATAGAGTACATTTGATGCCTAGATACGATTGTGTCTTGTTTTTTCATATGATAAAGTAGATTCAGCAGAGCTGATTAAAGCTTGGAATAGTAACACGATTCAAGTGATACTAAGCATCTCAATCCAAAATAGATTTTCATGGAAGTGAAGGTGAGTTTATGCCATCACTAGAAGCTTTTAATAAAATGTGTATCGCCCTAAATCCTTTAGTGAAATCAAGGGGATTAACAACCGCACTGCCTCCTCCCACAGATTAGGGATGTGAATGCTTTGAAAATGATTTGGAATAAGTGCTTTAGACTTCATACAGTATGACTACCACACTTCTCTGCTTTAAGGATCCCAAATCCTTAAGTAATTCACTAGGTATGTTGGGACTGGTAATTGCAAAATATCTAGGAAATATACTAGGTCGTGTTCGAAGAAAATAAAGAGCTATCGTTCCAATATTCCAGGATTAAAGGCAGTAGATTGGGGATGACTGCATTGTTGCTTCCTGCTATCTTCTCAAGAAATTATAGCTGGCTTTACACATTGTATTACTTACAGCCACACATTTATTTTAATCAACTTGTTTTTGAAGAAGTCGCAATGGCTTGGTTCAGAAATATTACTAAAGCTAGACGGTGGCGCCTTTCAGCATATACTACTGACTATTTCCAATGTGATTGATTGATTATGTGCCAGCTACCATATTTTTTGGAGTATAAGACGCTCAGGACTATAAGACACACCTACCCTTTTTGGGGAGGAAAACAAGAAAAAAAAATCTGCCTCTGCCTCCCAGCAATTTGCCTCCTTGCAGCAAACAGCAAACATCCTGTTTTAGTTTCAGTTTCAGCACAGCCTGATTAGCACAAGAAAAAAAATATCTGCCTCTGCCTTCCAGCAATTTGCCTCCTTGTAGCAAATGGGGTGCGCGGCAATAGGCAATGGCAATCCCTGCAGCTTGAAACAGCTGATGGTCGGGAGGCCGATTCAACGAACAATCAGCTGCTTGTGCTAATCAGGCTGTGCTGAAGCTGAAACGGGCTGTTTGCTGTTTGCTGCAAGGAGGTAAATTGCTGGGAGGCAGAGGCCAAAGGGTGGAGGCCAGCGGGTGGGTGGGGCTACATTCAGTGTATAAAACACACCCACATTTTCACCCTCTTTTAGGGGGGAAAAGTGTGTCTTATACTCCGAAAAATATGGTAGTTGTTTTCAGCTCCTATTTGACCACATAAACTGATTTTCTCCATGACAGTGTATCCCCTACTTCTTTTTTCCAGTCTCCAAATGGTGCACTCTTTGCCACTGTAACCAGCTGATCATCCTCTTCACCTTCTCCTCCACCTTTCCCAGCACTAGAGCCTTTCCCACAGCGGTAGATTTTCATGTAATGTATGTGACACACATTGTATAGAATGTGTGAAGGATGTATGTTTGTGTTTTTATTTTTATAGTTATAATGTACACTGAAGACGGCATTTAATTCTGTTGTACCATGTGCAATGACAATAAAGTAAACTAAACCAAACTAAACTAAACGGGCTGCAGCTCAATTTCTGAGTAATGCACTTTTGATTAAAAGAAATGTTTCTGAATGACGCTTGCAGCATTGATGACAATTGTAAATAAGCCTATATATCTTACTTCACAGTGAATCTTCCCAATAGTTTTAGTCCATTTCGAGAAGGAAGATTCATAGAAAAGCGTTTAAGGTCCTCTTCGGAAGGCACTGCTGGGAACAGTCGGATGATCCTAAAGCCAAAAGATGGAAACCCAGAAGACATAAATTGTTTAAGGAAACAGAGAACGAGTTCCTCCTCATCTAAAATGAATAGTTTGGTAAGTTTGCAAAGCCTCGTTGCTTCCATCTAGCTTGTTCTTGATGAATAAACAAAATCTGGTAGCATAAATGGAAATTTTTGGTGATGTGTTGGTTGTCAGGTTTTCTGAGCCTGAGTCTGCATTATATGTTCTTTATGTAGAAAACAGTTGCACGACTGTGGGCAATTGGACAGTTACAGTCACAGTTGCCATTTTTTGGATCTATGCTACAGGAAAACTGAAAACACATATTTTATCTGTAGAAATGTCCATATTTAGTCTGGAGCATCTCTAGTTTAGGTGACATGGTGGCTCAGTGGCTAAGACGCTGAGCTTGTTGATGGAAAGGTCGGCAGTTCAGCGGTTCGAATCCCTAGTGCCACATAACAGGGTGAGCTCCCGTTACTTGTCCCAGCTTCTGCCAACCTAGCAGTTCGAAAGCACCTAAAAAAGGCAAGTAGAAAAATAGGGACCACCTTTGGTGGGAAGGTAACAGCGTTCCGTGCACCTATGCCATTTAGTCATGCTGGCCACATGGCCACAGAGACGTCTTCGGACAGCGCTGGTTCTTTGGCTTTGAAATGGAGATGAGCACCACCCCCTAGAGTTGGGAACGACTAGCACATATGTGCAAGGGGAACCTTTACCTCTAGTTTAGAAGATAACTGAGTTCGACCTTGGATAGCTGGTGGAATGGATTATATGGATGATGGAGATACATAAAATCCACAGTGTCGTAACAATGTTCTCTTGGGATGTATCTGACTCCAGTGGGAGCATAGTTTTATATAACAAATCAGGCTGAGTGAATAAAAACTTCCAGATGATGTTTGAGGCACTGGTGAATGTAAATGGGTTTTATCACACTCACAACTTTCTTTGAGGTTCTCCCTCTTAGAGAAAAAGTAGAGGCTACTTATCTTGTTAAATAGAAGGAGATTCCAGTGGAGAAATTCCCTTTTATATACCTGTTTCCTACAACAGAATTTAAGGAGTGAAGATCAGTGATTCTGGTAGAATTTCAAAACTAATGTATGTATGTATGTGTGTGTGTGTGTGTATATATATATATATATATATGTGTGTGTATATATATATATGTGTGTGTGTGTATATATATATAAGCATACAGTACATTGCAATAATGAATACTATATAATCCAATTTCCCTAGTTGGAGGTTCCATCTATTGTATTATTTATTTCTCTGTTTACATTCTGAGCTTTTTTCTTTTTATGGAGCAAATTTCATAAAACTAGAGATCTTTATGTCCTTTCCTTCCCAATAATATCTTTGAAGGATGCCATGAGATGTCATATTCTACCAAAGGGTTTCCTTGGACAAGAGGGAAAATATTCACACAGAATGTTTATTCTGAAGGTTTTATTTAGGCAAAAGGGAAAAATTGGAGTACAACATGGAACTGAAAATGTAACCAAGCAAAAAGAAAGCAAAAAAAAAAAAAAAAAAAAACAACCCATGAATGTCTATGGAGATTCTCAGTCATCCAGCTCATGGTTGTCCCAAAGGTGTTTTTTTTTCCAAGAGGCAACTGGACTTTCTGGTTTTTCTTTGAAGATGTTTCGCTTCTCATCCAAGAAGCTTCTTCAGCTCTGACTAGATGGTGGGGAATGGAAGGATTTATACTCCTTGCAGACAGCTGGCCATTTGGATTCTTTTAGCAGGTCGTTAAAGCCACCTGGAGGTTTATCTGTATTCTCAGGGTCACCTGAGTGGTGGAAATGGGTGTAGAGCCTTCTTGGAACTGATGAAAGGACTGTGTGGTAGATTGATGTCATATTCCTCCTCCTCTGATGAGAGAGGACTGTTCAATTTTGACACAGATGGGCTCTTTAACCCCCCAAAGAAAAACCAGAAAGTCCAGTTGCCTCTTGAAAAAGTAAAGCACCTTTGGGACAAAAACCCAAGAGTAAGGGAAGACTTTGTGGTATTCCATCATTGTCCTGAAGACGGTGGTGTTGCTTTTTAATATATATATATATATTTATAGCAGGAAAGGCAGGGGTGAAATCAGGGGTGAAATGCTCCCGGTTCGGACCGGATCGCCTGATCTGGTAGCGATGGTGGCAGGTGGTTCGGAGAACTGGTAGCAAAAATCCTTGCCCCCCCCCCCCACCATGCCCAGCTGAGTCGCACGATCATCAGAGGCTTTTTTTTTACTTTTAAAAGCATTTTTTCTACAACCTCTTCCCACGAACCTCTTGGCCGAAGAGGTGGTAAAAAAATGCTTTGAAAAGTCTCTGATGATCCCAGCTGAGTTGCCTGATCGGCAGAGAGGCATTTTTTAAAAAGCCTCTCTGACGATCCCAGCTGAGTTGCCTGATCGCCAGAGGCTTTTCAAAGCATTAGAAAAAATGCTTTGAAAAGTTAAAAAAAAAAAAGTTGGCCACACCCGCCCAGTCACATTACCCCCCCCTCCACCACCACCACCAAGCCATGCCCACAGAACTGGTAGTAACACATTTTACATTTCACCCCAGGGTGAAATCCAGCAGGTTCTGACAAGTTCTGGAGAACCAGTAGCGGAAATTTTGAGTAGTTCAGAGAACCGGCAAATACCACCTCTGGCTGGCCCCAGAGTGGGGTGGGAATGGAGATTTTGCAATATCCTTCCCCTGCCACGGCCACCAACCCACAGAACCGGTAGTAAAAAAAATTGGATTTCACCACTGAGGAAAGGTAATAACTAAGAATGTAGCCAATTAAAGCTATTTTTCAGGATGGTGTTTTATGTAAAAGAAGCTTTGGAGTCAGTACCATGCTTTTCAGGTATCAAAGAAAGGAGCCCTTTGAGATGCTTTGTGTGAAGGTGGTGAGCAGGTTCTGGTTCCTTCATTCTTCTGCTGATTTTGCCGTGTCTTGAGTGACCGAGGAATGACGACATCCTGAAATACTCGTGATATTGCTGATCTTAGAGAATATTAAATTGAAGAATAAAGAGAGCCAAGGAGAGCTAGCGAGCCATAAATAGCACAATATGTAATTAATAGTCTTTTTTCAGAAGCAACTTAAAGATCAGTCTATTTTTGCAAAAGTATCAAGGTGTTCCTAAATAGCTGTTGCGGTTGAGATGAAGATTGTGTGCATCTGGAAATCAACTGTTTCCTACAAATAAAACAAACTCATCCTTATATGAGGCTCTCTGTGCCTCGAAAAGGCACTTCCAATTTCATTTTTGCCATGACTAAATTAACTATTACCATTTGTCTTTTCTTCTAGGAAGCACCATTAGAATAGAATAACAGAGTTGGAAGGGACCTTGGAGGTCTTCTAGTCCAACTCCCTGCTTAGGCAGGAAACCCTACACCACTTCTGACAAATAGTTATCCAATCTCTTCTTAAAAACTCCCAGTGTTGGAGCATTCACAACTCCTGGAGGAAAGTTGTTCCACTGATTAATTGTTCTCACTGTCAGGAAATTTCTCCTTAGTTCTAAGTTGCTTCTCTCCTTGATTAGTTTCCACCCATTGCTTCTTGTCCTGCCCTCAGGTGCTTTGGAGAATAGCTTGACTCCCTCTTCTTTGTGGCAGCCCCTGAGATATTGGAATACTGCTATCATGTCACCCCTGGTCCTTCTTGTCATTAAACTAGACATTAATATTATTCAGTGCCACCCTTCCTCTTATCCCTTATTCCAGATATTTATTGAAACTTTTTGTTTCTTGACTTTTTCTGGTCATTATATCACAGTGATCATATTTGGCATTCACAGCTGTATTTGTTTGTCTTTTCTGCCTAAGCTGACAAGCCTCAATTTGAGCGATTTCAAAATGAAATTAAATCCGGCATCTAAATAGGTGCTAAATACACTGCTCAAAAAAAATAAAGGGAACACAAGCAGAAGACATCCGAGATCTGAATGAATGAAATAGCCTTATTAAATACTTTGTTCGTTACACACACAGTAGTTTTGTGTTCTCTTTAGTTGTTTGAGCAGTGTATAAACTACTGTATGTAAAGAACAAAGTATTTAATAAGGCTATTTCATTCATTCAGATCTCGGATGTCTTCTGCTTGTGTTCCTTTTATTTTTTTGAGCAGTATATTACCAACTTACGTTATTATTGCTAACTTACGTTAGGAATGCTGTGCCTGGAATGATCCTGTTTTCTTTTTAAAAAATCAGTTATTTTTAATTATTACCTTTGCAGTAGCTTCTTTTTTCCATAAGATGTCAGTGTTGCTCTATTTGAACAGAATTAGAAATATTCTTCCAGTTGAGAGAGCTGGCTCAGGAAGCAAAAAAAAATAAAATAAAAATCTGTTGCAGGTATCCTAAATTCATTGATTTGGGCCACTTTCCAATGATTTCTGGTTAATTGAATTTTGGAAAGAGAATGGTTTTGGGAAGGAAAGTGAAATCTATGGTTGGGGTTTCATATCCAGACTGAAATTGATCATGGAATTCTTCAAAAATCGTGTTAAATTTAGGTGTGAGATTGGGGGGCAAATATTGCTACTAATCTATTCCTTCCATTGCTTGGAGCCTTCTAATGGACCATCTTTTCAGATTTTTTTTGAGAGGGTCTCTGAATGTTGGATTTCAATACTTACAATGAAGGAAATCTTCAAGCAATCATGTGTAGATTGATGAACATGATATATAAATATGCAATATCGTAATGGATTTCCTTGCCATTTATTTATTAAATTTATATGTCCACCCACTCCACAAGATGGTCATGTATTAAGTACACAAGTCACCTAAATTAACAGTATCCTGTCCATTCCTTGAGACTAACAGTTCAAGATAACCCCAGATAATCAAACAAGACCTTGCTTCAGTTAACACCACATCTCTTGCATAGTTGGGAGTCCAACTCTGAGTGGATTTGAGTGATTTTATTTATTTATTCATTTATTTATTCGTGACTTTATCAGTTTCTCCTCCAATTAATTTTAAATAGAACTGCCAGATGGCAAAGCTGCAATGTGGTGAAAAATTTAAAAAGTGATCCTTAATATAGGTTCTTGCCAATATTTGTTTATCAGTGTCC